AAACCCTTGAGGTCTCTTAGGACGTCTAAGTGTGACTTAATGTGTATGCTCACAAATATCAGATCTTTAGTGAAAAATTGCAGTGCTCTAAATTTTGCCTTATTATCTAGGAAGTATGATATTGTTCTGCTCACAGAGTCCTGGCTTACTGCTAAAAATGAAATGGCTCCACTTCTTTCTTCTCTAAGTACTTGCTACATGGCTGTCAGATGTGATCGGCTGCATAAAACTGGTGGCGGAGTAGTCTTACTTCTGAAAAAGACGGTATGTTGCTGGCGTGAGTGAAGAGGTTCATTCATCAGGAATTGGTAATAGATGCCTATGAGATTCTCATAACGGATGTGATCCTCGTTGAAAAAGTCTTGCGGATTATTCTTATTTATCGCGCACCAAGCTGTAGTCCCTCTAACTCACATCAACTCAGGAAATGTATCAGTGATTTCTCATCGACCAAGGACCCCTGTCTAGTTCTGGGTGATTTTAATCTTTCGGATATTGATTGGTCTAGAGATAGTCCGGCTTCCGGTTTGTCGAATCAGTTCATTGACCTATTTAGCTCACACAATTTCAAGCAGCTGGTGAAGCTCCCTACTAGAGGTAAATCCTATCTTGATCTGATCTTTAGCAATTCGGATGACCTTGTTAATCAAGTTGATGTCCTACCCCCCATTGGTGGGAGTGATCATGCTGTTGTTGAGGGTGGGAGCTGTGTCACTTAAGTCTTCGTGTCTTTAAGAACGCAGTGGCGTTGACGGGTGGGAGGGGAGACGGGCCGGGGACTTGCGGGAAGTGCAAATTACTCTAATATCATGAATATCTTGGCAGCATCGATTGGCTAGGCTCTTTCAATTGTGTTTCCTCAGTTAATAACATGTATGAAATTTTTTTGGCTATCCTTCATCACACAATCATCAAGTTCGTTCCCATAGAGGTAACGAGAGCGTTGGCCAGATGGCATACAATAACAGATTTAGAGACATCAAGGGTTTCCCGAGTTGTGTTGAGACGTGGAAACAGCATTTACATTGGGAGCATCACCAGTAGAAATATTTGCACAATCATTGCCAGACGCGAGATTAAAACGACATGAACGCTGCTCCCGCCTGCGGTCCCTTTCCTCCTTTGTAAGAGATGGACGTATGAAGACGCCCTTCTGAGGAAAGAACCGCAGACGGGGTGCACGTTTAATGATTTCTCTTTGAAATCGACTGGCTGGTAGGACAACTTTAATTAGCCTAGATCTCTGACCATTAGTCCTACCCATGCGATAGACACAGCTGGGAAAGCATTCGATTCCCAAAAAATCAAATAGAGCATTGACACAACTAACATCATGCCTAACAGCATCAAAGGAACTTCTAGAGTCACTCTCAGGAACCCCTGAGATTACAATGGAACGTTTGATCTCAGGATCATGAACGGCATCAGAAGAATGAGATTCTACTTGAGAAGGAGTGGAAATGGCAGACTGAAGATTTACAGGGCTAGAGGCAGCAAGTAATAATTTTTCAATCTGAACCTTCAAAATGGAGTTTTCCTCCCTGAGCCTTTTGTTTTCCTGCAGTATTTCCTCATTTCGCTTATTGACTTCCATAAGTTGACGGCGCGTATCATCGAGCACATCGATGATCAACTTCATATACGGCGGCATGTCGATTTCACCAGCCATGAGTTGCAGACGGTCCAGTGTGGATCCACCGGAATGGGGCGAGAGGTCTATCCGTGAACGCTTAACTGGAACAGAAGAGGACCGCGAGGGCGTCGAAATCATGATCATCCAATAGCAAAAGATAATATCAGCAGATCAAGGATCGTCAATAGAACCAACGGCGATCGATCGATCCACTGAGAAAACCAAGAAAGATTACCGTTAATAGTGGCGTGAAACGAACAACAAAAATTCACCCTCCGCCACAAAGGATGGACGCAGTAGACACAGTAGACAGACAAAATAATGCACCAGAGCCGTGGTCCAACAGAAGTACTCGGTCAAGTGAGCAGACAGGACGAAGTAATAGCCGACAGGCAGAGCGCTAGGAATATCGACCGCTCACGGTACGGACAGGCTCAAGACTCAAGTCTTCCAGGCCTACCACTGTAGTTGTCAGCTTTTTGCTTGCGAAAAATATGCCTATACAAATCAATACACAAAATCCTGCTACCGCATGGAGGCAGACAGCAATGAGTACCTG